GACGTGCACCGGACAACGCATGCCCACTCGAATTGAGGTCATGAACAATATTAACCGTTTTAAATGATTAACAAAAAAAAAATTTTTGTTAGCAATACATTAAAATATTTCTCAGATGTGGTCGACTGAACAAGAAGTTACTTTTATATTATATTTCAAGTTGTTATCTAAAAATCTTGTTTAGTACTGGTTAATTTCACTATTGTTAATTTCACTTAAATAAGATGAAAATATTTTTGGAGAAAACTCCATTGTTTTTCTTAACATAAAATTGAAGCTTTGTGTAAATTTGAGTTTATACACATTTAAGTACCGAGCACACGTAGAAGTGGTTTGCAAGAGGTATTTCCACCAGCTACAGTTTTCAAACAATATTCTGCACGCTGTTTTTGTTTTAAATAAAAACAAAAACAGCGTTTATGCATAATAGAAATAAAGTCGGCCTTAAAATAGAGCCCTAAAAACCCTTGCAAATTATGGAGTACGAAAAAGTATTAGTTTCATCATTGTATAAATATTGGTTTCTGTTTTTCAGGTATGATTTGAACCAAAGTAGGTTTTTATTTTTCACTGCGTAGTTTGCAACTTTTTTTATCGTATATATGGATTTAAGGTAACAAAAGCTTTTAATAGATCAATAAACGTCTGATTTCATCGATTTTTTTGTTTTAACTAGTTTTCATTGATCTGCCACCGAAATATGGTGTATTTTTAATTAAAATGTTATTGGTAGCTCAGATTGTTTGAATCCGTTGAATCGGTCATTTTTTAAATTACAATAATTTTATTATTTCAACATAATTTTTTTTTTGCAGGTGGGAAATTCCCATAAAATTCTTTTAAATATTATATGCATAATGAAGTTTTAACGATACCGAAGATTTGATTGATGAACATGTGAAAGAAGAAGATTCTAAAAACAAAATTTAGTACTCTAAATTGTTTAACAACTATTCTAATTTTTTTTAAAGTACATAAGGGCAATTCGACGGTGGAAATTGAAAAAGTAGTCGAATTTTATTCTTTCTTTCGTCAACTTTTAGCAAATAAATATTGATGTAGACACATGAAAGTTTATTTAAAGTATACCTTTAATACTAAAATTAATTTATTTAAGTCATTTTTATGCCTCCGAAAGTTACGCTTTTTCTCATTGTCGCATGATAAAAAAGGTATCATTGTAAAATGTTATTTTAACCATGAATTTATTTGCATAATCGGAATTAATTTAACGTGAAAATGAAGCTAACATGTTCAAATTATTGCTTATCAGAGTTTGTACTTTATAAAATATATATCTCTTAAGAAAATAACGAAAGAACTATTGCGATTTTAATGTAACGTAAGTTAACAAAAACATGATTAAGTTTTGTTTTTTCTAAAATTTAGTTAAAAGAACTTATTTTTGTTAATAATATATGCGAAATCTTTATCACGTTAGTCTACCAGAAACAATAATGTCATTAAAAGGAAAGAACAAGAAAAAACTTTTAAATTTTGTTTAGTGAATACATTGTTTATATTGATGTGTATTTTTATTGTTATATTTATATGTCATGTATTTTTGTTTATGCATTTTATGCATTTTTTACTTTTATTAACCTTAGTTTTATGTATAATAAGTGTTTTTCTAATTATATATTTTCTTTATTTGTTTATTATACTTACAATATATTTTTGTTTTTATATTATAAAAACTAAAATTATTATATTCATCGAGTCTTTATATTCTTTTATCGATATCGTTTTTATGTCATCGTTATTAGTTACGTTTTGTCAGTTTATTACTGTTTGTAACAGTAACTATGTATATATAATTGATTGTTGTATGGAAGATTGTATTGATTGAATTCTTTTAGTTTTTATAATTTTTGTTGACGTAATTAATGAACAGCCTTCTACTAAATATTTATTTAACAATTCTGTTATATATGTATTGTATTTATTATTATCATGTTTTTATTTTATTCATTATTATTGAGTGTTAATTATACTTACTGGTACTATTATTATTGTTATTCTTATTATTATACAATTAATTATTATTATTAATGCTGTTTTGTTAATTTATTGCTATTTTTATTAAAACTATAACTATGTGTCTATAATATGTTTTATATCATCAAAGAGATTTTTACTTTATATTAGTTTTTATAACTATTTGTAACGACCGTGGAAGTTAGATCTTTTTTCCAAAATATGTAATTGATTGATTGATTGATTGAAAGAATATTAAATGTTACATTTTACATTTAAAGTTTTGAAAAACGATGCTGAGTTAAAGCACATTTTTATTCTAAATTTGTATAACATAACTTAAAACTACATACATTTACTTAGTTTTGGTGACAAAATGAATTACGTCATTAAGAGGTTAAGGCCATCGCTCTTGACATTTCTAAAGCACTTGATAAAGTTTAGCATGCTGGTCTTCTCCATAAACTTTCTTTTTACAGTGGTAATCTGTAAGAAGATTCTTATCTGGTAACATCTTTAAGATAATTGAATCCTTCCTTTCTAATTGTAGTATAAAAGTTTTTCTTGATGGACAGCACTTTTCTTCTTATTCTGTAACCTCAGGGGTTCTTCATGGTTCAATCCTTGGCTCTATATTCTTTTTAATTTACATTAACGATCTTCCAGATATTCTTACATCTTACGCTGATGATACTACTATTTATTCTTGCCATGATAAGAAACAACCTCTCTCTGATTGCTTATAGGGGGCATTTGATCTTGAAAAGGATCTCCCTTCTGCTATGACATGGGTTCACAGTGGTTGGTGAACTTTAACTCAGATAAAACCCAATTTTTTTCAGCCAATTGTTATCGCAATAATTTAGACCTTCCTATATTTATGAACGGTAATGTACTCGATGAGTCATCTATCCTTCATCTTCTAGGATTAACTCTTACTTCTGATCTTGCTAGGAAACCAAATATCAAATCCGTTGCAAATTAGCATCTGCTAAAGTTGCATCTCCTTATCGAGCTCGACACTTTCTTACTCTGGATTCTATTCTCTATCTCTATAAACCTCAAATCCGTCCTTGTATGGAATACTGTTGCCATATCTGGGGCAGATCTTCTAATGATGCTCTTTCTCCTTTAGACAAGGTACAAAAACGCATTGTAAACATAGTTGGACCTGTTCTTGCAGCCAACCTTCAACCATTATCACATCGTTAAAATGTTGCTTCTCTTTCTCTTTTCTAAAAATGCTATAATGGGCACTGCTCCAAAGAGCTAGCGCCTCTTTTGCCATCTACTAAAATTCATTCTTGTGTTACTCGTCATTCAATTAAGTCTCATCCTTTTTCTGTTATTGTTCATAAGTGCTCCAAAAACTCTTATTCGTCTAGTTTTTTTCCTTGAACATCAGTTCTTTGGAATTCGCTTCTTTCATCTTGTTTTCTTGATTCATATAATTTCCCCTCTTTTAAGTCGTCTGCCAATCGTTATCTTGCTCTACAATCTTCATCTTTTCTCTTCCAGTAACTTCCAACACTAATTAGTGGTTGCTTGCAGCCTTGTTGGAAGCGAATATGTTAAAAAAAAAAAATTAATTTGTGTTGGTGTGACCAGGTTCGTGTTGATGTGACCAGATTCTGACTGAAACTTTTTATATTAGAATTTAGAAAAATATATATATTTTTTTTAAATATTAATTAAATTTTTTATAATATTCCTTTTTTATCTATTTATGTATTCTTATTTTAGTTGACATATAAATGCACATAAATAAAAATGAGAATTAAATAAATATTTGTATTTAGACATAAAAAAAAAGATTTATTTGCTTTTCTCCTAAAATAAAAAAAATCAGTTATCTTATTTACTTTTATTTTAGTAAAACAAATCGTTTGTAAATGCAACTATGGGTCATCAATAAATCACGTCACCCTATATTTGTCAATTCTTAACTCCTCCCCTCCCGTCTCAAACGATCACATATACCTGAACCCATCTCCCTCTTAGACTATAATAGCAGCTTTTTCGTCAAAAGACTTTTTAAAAGATTTAATTGTAAATAGTTTGCTGCATTTTAAAAATTTAGCCTAATGAAAATAAGGCAATACGCATAAACGTAAAGAGTGTAAGTATAAACTTCGACAAACCAAAAATTTTCTTATTTAAACGACTCAAATAAGTATTAATAAAGTTGTAATACTAAAATTTTTTAAAGTTGCTCCTGGTCTTGCGTAAATTACAAAAATTGCGTAAATTACGAAAATTACATAACTTTAATAAATGTTATGAAAAATCACTAACATAACATAAAAAAAAAAAAGTTTTTTTAAATTTCCTGTGTTAATTATTCTTAATGAATGAGTTCAATACTTTTGCAACTCTTTTGTTACGTAACTTTAACTCTCAATAATAGATATAAAAAATCCACGATATATATCGCTCGATAACGTAAGTGATGTAATGTAAGTTAAATATATATGGCCGGGTGAATAAAAATCAGCAATTGCTTTTTCTAAGTAATTGTTCAGCATTACGCGAATAAAAACCAGCAATTTTCCTTTAGTTTTTGTTGACGTAAAGCTGAGGAATTAAGAACTTAGTAAATTGCTTAACATTACGTGAATAAAAATTCCAACCAAACTCCTTTAGTTTTTATTTACGTAAAGCTGACCAATTACTGAATGAAAGCCATTGCTCATATAATATAAATAAAAAGAGAGTCGTTTAAAATGAGTTAAGTCTTATTTTATTGAATTACTATTTTTGTAAATATGCTTTTCGATAAAAAAGTTTAAAATTGAGAAAGATTAAAGGCCGAACTAAATTTTAAAAATGGCGAATCTCGTTATAGAGCAACCAAGGGTGTGCAAGTGAGGTATATACATCAAACGATAGCAACACAGTTTTTAAAAGTTTTTTTAAAAGTTAAAATAATGAACATATTATTCTAGCCACAATTTTATGAGCTTACGCTAATGATTTATCAAAATTTTATAATTGGAAAACATACGGGAAAAAAAACAAGTTAATAGTAGAATGTGTAATTATATTTTATCAACAAATAAATTACAAAGATTCTTCCGTCAAAAAATTCATTATCAAGGCACAGCCCTTATTAAATAAAGCTTTGAAATTCGATATAAATAAACTGTTGTGTAACATCTAAACGTGCATTTGCATATGCTTAAAACGTGATTGGCTCAACCAAATCACAATTTCACACGAGATTCGAAAAACAGATAAAAATTCAAAAATAGTATTTCCAGAAATACTAATATAATTTATATATATAAATATAAGTTAGAAATTGTTGCAAGTCTATTTATAAGACCAATTAACGTTGCGAGTTACAGAATCTTAAATGCAAATTCATGCGAGTTCACTACATCAAAAGAACCATTCACAGAACAGTTTTTCGAGTCCATTTAGTTTTTGTTTTTTGAGTGTGCTTTAGATCTTTAAGTTGGTTTATTATGTGCTTTACTTTATCATGTGAAATTCCAAAGTCCTGTAAAAAAAAAAAAAAAAAGGTAAAATACTCTAGCTTAAAATAAAAATCAAATCAGTATATTAGGACAAAAAAAATTTGTTCCTAGTTTGTCTTTATCAAAGCGTAATAAGTAAATCTAAAGGAGCCTGCGGGGAAAGAAATCACTTTAACTTACTAGATAAGGGGAGATAGAACATCTCATTAAAAATTCTAGATATAAATTGGAGTAATTTTCACGCAATACACCTTTGGCTTGTTATAAGGACTATATAACAAAATTTTCTGAAAATAGCGAAAGTCATTATTTCTACTCAAGTCAAAGCGTTTTCAAACCTTGCAATAAAACTTTTGAAAAATATCTTAATTTCATTAAAACCGTAAGATGCCTTCATATACTACCAAATTTCATTATACCAAACAAATATGCTGTGAATTGTTAAGGGAATTATAATGAATTTAATAATTGTCATGTTTTAAATTATCTCAAGATGAAGCAGAGAAACAGAAATGGATTAACGTGCTTCCTACACGGAAAAATTTTTATTATAGACAAATTTTTTATAAGCAAAAAACATTGGCCTGAAAAAACAGAAATGATTAGGATTCATGATTAGGATTCGCTAATCTAAGCCTGAGGATCAGCAACTTCGCTAATCTAAGCCTGAGGATCAGCAACTTCGCTAATCTAAGCCTGAGGATCAGCAACTTCGCTAATCTAAGCCCGAGGGTTAGAACTTAATTATTTTATTAAAAAAAAATAAAATAAATTCGTTTTCTGAATTCTATTCTGACAAAAAATTACACACGCACACAAAAAATTGAAATATTGTAATATCTTGGCACGAAGATATATTAATATGCATTTTTATGTCAAAGGATTTTAAAAAAAGATTCATGACAATAATTGTTTATGTTAAGTGTACACTGTGTTCACCACTAAAAACTTTTTAAGCTTTTAAATATTAGCGTTTTTTTAAGTATATATCGAATCATTAATCAAAATTGCTTTGACTTCTATTCACAGTTTTTGAAGTTATTAATTTAGCTCAAAATGTAAAAAGAAGCCATTAACTTCGTTTAAAAACTTGACAACTATTCTTTCAGGTAAAGAATTTAAAATTAAAAAGAAACTGAACTTTATTACAAGACACTTGAGAATATTGTGAAACAAAAGTTTCTCTATAGCTTATCACTGCTTTTTATTATATAAACTCAAATATTTATGTAACAATTAAACTTTCTGAAAAGTGCCAAAAACTATTAACAATAGAAATTATCAAGATGAAAAAGATAACATTTTACAATCAGTTTCTTTATCATTTTAAATACTGTTAGTATTTCTGCATAAAAGCAGAATAAGAGATCACAACTAATCTTTGCAAGATAAAAATTTAAATAATTTACAATTATTTTTAGAATAATTTAAAGTTATAAAATCAGGGCATGGATCTAATGTGTTACCCATGATACCAGAAAAGCCCTTGTGCAAACCACTGAAGGATTAATAGCTGTCTATAAGCATTTGTTTTCATACGGTTATGATTACGTTTTGCTTTGTGAGCTACAAAGTGACAGAATTGAAGGAGAACTTTTTGTTTTTAGATTTTCAGACAACACAGCAAATGTTTTAACAAGTGCCGCCGATGCTTTCTCTGTTTAAAAAGGATTTAGCTAAATTTGCTGCAACGTTTCTAAAATCAGTAGGAGTAGGATAGCCCAATAAAAAAGTCATACATGTGAACATCATTTTGTAACATTTATGTATCAATTGAAACATGCATTCATTATGCGAGTCTTTCTAAAATTAAAGAAATCTCTGCTTCCATTGTGGCAGGGTGGTGGAGAATAATGTGAGGATAAACCTATAGAAACAAATGAAGCTTAAGACTTCATTGATTTTATAGATTTATAGATTTCAAAGAGAATTTTGTCAGTTTCTCGTGATTATACTTACCAGTTATTTAGAATTAGCTTAAACTTTTTGAAAAAAACACAAAACAAAACAAAAACAGAGCTGTTTTAGAAAAAGACTTATAAACATTCTGTCTATAATGTTTAGATATAATGATTTTGGTTTATCATCGAAAAATCTTTTTAAGAATTCAGAAAACGTTCTTCTGCATCAAAATCAGAACTTGAAAAAAAACTGAGCAAAAAATGTCTTTATCAAGTATTAATTAAGAAACACTTTATCAGATAAAAAAGATACCTTTGTTGAGTAATATTTATTTACAGATAAACTTAATTAATATCTATTATTAATAACAATCGTTTTTAACTAGCTAATGGTGTTTATTATATTGATTTTTTACATTTAAAAAAAATAATAACTTTTTTACATTTTTATAAAATCTTCTAGAGAGTATTTCTTCATCAAATTATCACAAAGTGTTCTGCATTTTTTTATGGATATCAAATTATCACAATTTATCAAGTGTTCTGCATTTTTTTATAGATATCAAATTATCACAATTTATCAAGTGTTCTGCATTTTTTTATAGATATCAAATTATCACAATTTATCAAGTGTTCTGCATTTTTTTTATAGATATCAAATTATCACAATTTATCAAGTGTTCTGCATTTTTTTTATAGATATCAAATTATCACAATTTATCTGTTCTGCATTTTTTTTATAGATATCAAATTATCACAATTTATCTGTTCTGCATTTTTTTATAGATATCAAATTATCACAATTTATCAAGTGTTCTGCATTTTTTTATAGATATCAAATTATCACAATTTATCTGTTCTGCATTTTTTTATAGATATCAAATTATCACAATTTATCAAGTGTTCTGCATTTTTTTATAGATATCAAATTATCACAATTTATCAAGTGTTCTGCATTTTTTTATAGATATCAAATTATCACAATTTATCAAGTGTTCTGCATTTTTTTATAGATATCAAATTATCACAATTTATCAAGTGTTCTGCATTTTTTTATAGATATCAAATTATCACAATTTATCAAGTGTTCTGCATTTTTTTATAGATATCAAATTATCACAATTTATCAAGTGTTCTGCATTTTTTTATAGAGTAAGTTTTATTATATTAACTTATTATTCATTTTTTTAAAGTTTTTTTTTTGTTATTATTTTTATATATTTATTATTAAGCTTTTATTAATACTAAATTATTTTCATTGTAAAATTATTTTACATTTATTATTATTTTAATTGATTATTATTATTTTAATTGAGTTTACAAAATGTTGTTTTGGTTATAAACTTTATAAGCGTTTAGTATTGACTTTTGCTAGCAAAATTAGAAAATCAACTTTCTTTCTTATAATAGTCTTTGGCTTATTTTATTTTACAAAAGAAAAAATATCATACCGTCAGATCTTTTTCGTTTAAACCAATTAGTTCTCTGCCACTTCTAATCTTATTAGTAAAAAAAATATCTTTATACTCTCCATACCCAATTTTATCCAACCACAAACTGACGTCATTACTTGTCCAATCAGTTAAAGACTTCTTATCAAGACACTCTAAAATTAAGTATTATGTGTAAAATTATTCAAGAAAAGTAATAAAGCCTGAAAATTATAAAATAAAATGAAAATAAATGGAAAAATGAAAAATAAAATAAAAATAAATGAAAAAATGGAAAACAAAATAAAATAAAAATAAATGGAAAAATGGCAAATTAAATAAAATAAAAATAAATGAAAAAATGGCAAACAAAACAAAATAAAAATAAATGGAAAAATGGCAAACAAAATAAAACGAAATAAATGGAAACATGGTAAACAAAATAAAATTAATGGAAAAATAGAAAGCAACATAAAATTAAAAATAAAATTAAAAAATGTCAAACAAAATAAAATAAAAATAAATGGAAAAATGACAAACAAAATAAAACGAAAATAAATGAAAAAATAAAAAACAACATAAAGTTAAAAAAAATGGAAAAACGGCAGAAAAAAAAAAAAAAAAAAAAAATTAAAATATATATAACTTTAAAGTTAGTAAATTAAAAATTACATATAAAATAAAAAATATATATAAAACAACATAAAATGAAAATAAATGAAAAAATAAAAAACATAAAGTTAAAATAAATGGAAAAACGGCAAAAAAAAATAAATAAATGAAAATATATACAACTATAAATCTATGCAATACAGAAATTTCAAAGAACCAAAAGAAACTTCTTAACCATAATTGACACTTTGTACCTTCTTTGAAATATTCATCTTATATGGATATATTGTTTATCCACAACATAAAAAGTCATTTTGAAATAATTCCTGGAATAGCGTGGTCTACAACTACACCATACACAAAGACAACAAATCGAATATCTCTTTAAGATATTATAAACTTCTCTTAAAGAACAAACCTTGCTGCTTTCATTAAAAAATGGTTAAATTTTTTCTCTTTACCATAATTAAAGATTATTGTTTCAGAATATTTGGACTAAGAGTGAGAACAAGAAAAACTTTTATAGTAGTGGCCTAGAGATAACACACTTCAGTAGTAGCCTAATCGCATTTGGATCTTTTGCAGCTTTAGATAAAACCCCAATTTTAATAAAAATTTTGGTTTACATATTTTTAATTAAATATGTAAACAGACCTATTTTTGAACAAAACTGCAGTTTAAAAATTTAAGAAATTCTGTTAGCAAGTTATTAGTATTAACTGAAATGCTAGTGGGTGTACTACCAAAATACATACTGTAGCAGTCGTGTTGAATAATTGCTATTTCCCCACCAATGCAAACTTGATTCAAAACTGTTAATCTAAGGTGTAGTACCTTGACTTAGTAGTAGCTGTAATAATAATTAATTAGTAGTAGTAGCTGTAATAAATAATTTTTATTGTGGTCATATTTAGTAATCTCTTTAAAGTATTCATAGCAGCAACCTCTAGCATTTATTTAAACTTTTATTATTGTATTTTATATGTATTTGTTTAAACTATTAAAAAACTTTACCTATGCTATCAATACAAGAAAATAAGTAAGTCTTTAAAGTAAGTCTACAAATATTAAGTTCTCTGGACTTTCATTAAACTGGACTTTATGTTAGCTGCTTTAAACTAAAAGTTTAAAGTAGCTAACAACCTGTTGTCAAAGTAGGAGTAACTACAATGTTAAGAAAATGATTGTTCACCAGGCATAACAGAACAGTGACTTAATTTTCTGCACTGGAAGCAAATATTTTAAAATAAATTCTATATCAACTTAATGCCTGAACTGCAACAGTTTAAAAATTGCATTGCAGAATATTAGCGCCAAACAAACACAACACTTAACTCACCATATGCGTCAGAAGGAGAAAAAAATCGACATGAAACAGCATTTCGGTTAAAACTGTTCATCATTTTATTATTGCTTAATTGGGATGAAGTTTCCATCTAAAAAATAAAGTTTAATTGCCATATTTTGACTAATTATACACAAAAAAGTAATATATAATATACAACTTTTTTTATAATATTTAACATATAATTATAGTTATACTTAAATCAGCGCCAAAAAAAAGTAAAGAACACTAAGTTCCAATACTCTCAAATTACTAAATCTTATATTTTATCTCAGAGGTTAGCTTCTAGAGACTTTTGGAAAATCTTCAACTATGTCATTAAGAATGGTCTAACATTCCACCTCTGATACTGATCTTATTACTCTCCCAAGGATAAGCCTTTTCTTTAATTCATTTTTGAATCTGATGACCACACTCTTTCTGTTATAGTAGAGAAACAGATTAATTTATTGTTAGACATTTAAAAGGTTTTCTTTTTCTTTTTCTTTTTCTCTTTTCTACAAAAACTACTACAAAAACTTTTCTACAAATCTTTTTCTCTTTTCTACAAAAACTGAATTATGACATTATTCAAAAGAGCTTTACATTTATAGTTATATCAACCAAAATTTATTCATATTTGACTTGCCAATCAGCAAACTCGCATCCTTTTACTGCATATGTCCCTTCATGTTATAAAATCTTTCATTGATTTAATTTTTTTCATTGCACATCAATGCTTTAAAATTCTCTCCTGTCTTCACGTTCCAGACTCAAATACAATTTACAGTTTTCAAAGTCTCAACAGTGCTTGAACAACTCTTTATAAATATATATATATATATATATATATATATATATATATATATATATATATATATAACAACTCATTGTTTTTTGGTAACTCCCAGCATAAATATTGGCTGCTTTTAGTCTTGTTGAGAGTAAATAAGTTTAAAAAAAATGAGTTAAAACCATGGAAACCAGAGCTAGATTATTTATATAAAATTATTCAATGTTATTAAGTTACAAATGAGATGCTCGTTATCTCAGCTATTCTAGCATTTACAGACTTTTTTTAAAAGCTTGTGACCTAATTTTTAATCCAGTGTAAGAAGATTATTTCACATTATAAGATTCATTCAGATTTCTATCATTTCACAACATAAAATATTTCTGACATATCTATTTTTCACTCTTTTATTTAAGCTCTAGAATGTTCTAATAGTTTTCCATTTACTATCAGATGTATTTTTAAAAAAGAGCGATTTAAGATGTGTGGTTACATTTGTGTCTAAATAAAGTGGATTTTTGAACAGCAATTTTAACAATAAATTAAAGCCTAACTCTCTGAGTACTTATACTAAACTTCATTCTCTTTTTCACTAAAACCTCTACATCAACATCAAGTGCTATTATTATTATTATTATTATTATTATTATTATTATTATTATTATTACTATTATTATTAATAATAATAATTATCAGTAATAACAAAAATGATAATATGGTTTTATAATGATTATTTATCATACTTTCAAGTTAAATATTTTTTATTGAATAACAAATATTGAATTTTGTGATAAAAACAGCATTTATGGTTTTTAAAAAACTAAAAATTTAAAGAGCAGAAGTATTCCCAGATATTAAAATTCACAATCACTTAATTAACCCCTTGAATGTTTTTATTTTCTTGACATCTTTACAAAATATTAGGTAAAAATGCAGAGTAATAGAACCATTTATAGATTTTAAATTAATAGAAATTTATAAAAATAATAACTAATAAGAATTTAAATGAATAATTGAAAAAAAAAAAAAAAAAAATTAAAAAACCTCATCATCAGAATCTTTGTTTTCAAACTGCTCATAGTAAAAGTTTAACTCTTGATTGGCCTTTTTAAGAGCTGAGTTAATACCATACTCTAATTCTTCGGACAACATCTATATATGTACATATTTACAATAATATAATTTTAAATAAAAATTATAAAAAATCTTTTTTATTAGTGGTATGGCATAAAAGATACTTGGCATAAAAAAATGGAAAAAATATTCAAACTTAACAAACACACAAATAAATTAAAATTCAAAAAACATACTGGTTTGGAAATCCACAATTTTTCATTGACTTCATTAATGAATGACTTTGATAATGTTAAAAACTCTGCAGCCTCTTGAGTGTTGCAAGTCTTCAAATAATTTTACAAAAAAATGAATAATTATTATTATATATCATAATACCAAATATAATAAAAATTAAAATTATTTATAATTAACTATAATTATAAATCATCATAAGTATTTTTAATCAAATATAAAAACAAACCAAAAATTTTTAAAAAACTGCAAAACAGCAAAAAACAAGCAAAAATTGTAAAACAGCAAAGTAGCAAAAAACCCAGACATTATTTTAGACAAACAAAAAGAATGAAATAATATATTATTATTATTAATATAATAATATAATTAATGATTATTTTTATATATATAAGGAAAAAGATTTTTTCAATATTTTTTTTAAATATCAAAAGCTATCTTTATATGAAAGAACTGTTATCAGGTTTTAGTTATGAAAAAATCTTAATCAACAACTTCGTATTTGTATTGATTTGACACAACTAAATAAAAATACAAAACACAAATTTATGAATTAAAAAGTGTAGATGCATTAGCTTAACTAAAAAATGTAAACATGATGGCTAAATTAGACAATAACTCAGCATATTGGCAGTTACCCATTGATTGGGTAAGTCAGTAAAAGTATACGTTTACTAGACCTTTTGGTAATTTTTGCCTAACAAAGGATCCATTTGGGTTAACATCACTTCAAGAAATCATTAATAAAAAAATGGATCATGTAAATTGAGGATCTAAAAAAACAGTAGTAAAAAGTAAAGATTACTTTTATGTCTTTAGCAACACAGAAAGTGATTATAATAAAAATCTATTTGAATTACTAAGTAAATTTGCGGAACTTGAATTTTTTTTTTTTTTTTAATTTTAATTTATCTCTTCAAGGCGGAGAAGGCCTCTACAGATGAGGAGGCTACTTAATTGTGGTTTTAACCCTCTCTCAACTCTATAACTCTGAAACACCAACTTTGATGGACAAGGGTGCTTCGCTGAGAAACAAATTAAGCGCAGTACTACCAGGGACGTGGTGGGGATCGAAGAGTTACCCTAGGTCATGAAGTCTATTTCAGTCGAGGCCAATAGAACCACAACTACTTTTAGTTGTGGTTAAAACCCTCTCTCAACTCTATAACTACAAAACATAAACCTTGACAAAAAAAGCTGTTGTGCGGAGAAACAAGTTAAGAGCTGCACTACCAGAGACATGGTGGGTATTGAACTTAGAACTGGTTGCTTATGAAGCAAATGCTCTACCACTACACCACTACCACAACATTAAGTTAATGGGTAAAGAACTAACCTGCACTCTTGCCTTATTAAATTACTCTAAATAACCTCATTACAATGGAATTTTTTTCAATTTTATGTATAATAGTTAAAACTATTGAAGTGAAGGAAAAATTATTTTATACTAACTTATTATAATAAAATAATACAAAAAATTACCAAAATTTTTTGTTTACTTATACTTTTGCATACTTTGAATACAAATATAATTATACACGATATCTTACACAACCATAAATACAAAATACTTACAGAATTAAAACTTTGAAATTTCTCAGCCATTTGCTTTAATGATGAAGCAAGTTCATAAAGTTCTTGATGGACATCATTGATTAAGGAAGCAGCTTTCACACTAAACACAACGGAAAAATCTATAGAAATTTTAATGAGCTAAATATGAATTAGGATGGAATCATGATATTATCACAATGACAGAGAGGCATTTCCTAAGAAATTTAAAATAAGAAATTAAAAAAAAAAAAAAAATGTACTTCTTGACAAGAACTAAAACAGCAATTGCAACAGGCTTTAATAGCTTTACTTCATGTCCACTCAAAGCTCTATAATTACATTTACAGTGTCTGCTTGGTTCATTCCAAGAGCGTAGAGCTTCTTCAAAATCCTAAGACATATTTTAAAAATATACATACTTTTTTGTAACTATTATATACATATATTTTTAATAATCTGATGTCATAAAAACTTTTATTCCATCATGAATTCAAAAATTTTTTACTCTTCTATTTTGTGTTTTCATGTTTATTACTTTTATTTTTTTATTATATATTTGCTTTTTATTTTTTGTTATATATTTGTTTTTGTTCTTTGTTATATATATATATATATATATATATATATATATATATATATATATATATATATATATATATATATATATATATATATATATATATATATATATATATTTTTTGTTTATAGACTACTAATTGACTTTAATAAGCTAATTCAAAAACATTTATATAAACCAAATCAACTTTTATTTTTTATAAATTTTTGGCCAAAAAAAAAAAAAAAAACTCACTCGATCCTTTTTAAGCATAGTAGCTCTGTTTTTATGAATAATCTGAATTATTCCAGGAGGTTGCATCCAAGCTTCACCATCAACTTGAACAGGAACTTCTTCATCAGTTATTGTAATTTTTACGCTGTGACACTATTAATATAAAATATTTTAACCTTTTTTATTTATAAGTGCATCATTTTCTTGGTGGTAGGCTTGTTTTGCGTTGGATAAAATAAAACAGAAACAAATAGCATAATATCTATAAATTTTGGCAAGTTAATATATTTATGGTAAAATGTTAAGTAACCTGTGATATTCTATGATGCTGCATGCCACCAAACACTTTAGACATACCCATTTGACTTGCTCCAAGTACAGCAACAACTTCAAGCATTTTATCATCAAATGATGGTAAAGTAAAACCCTTAACAAAAAATTCAAAAAAAATTTTTCACAAGAAATTAAATAACTTATTTGGAAGTAAAAAATTTCATCACAAACATTTATAACACATCTTCAATGCAAGCATTTATAACACATTTTAAATTGTTACTTATTAAAGTTTAACAAATAAAAAACTAATCAAATTTTTTTTTAATGAGTTTTTAAAAATTGAAGCAAAAAAGTCTTTTAAGAAAAATCTTTTTTGAGAAAACTTTCAAAAAAAATGAGCACTACACACAGGGGCTACTAAAAGTACAAATGTAAGTATTCTTCTTTAGAGCGAGTATTATTACTCCTTTCCGCAAAAACACAAATGGTAATTTTTGCCACATGTCATCACAAACTCATTAACTATATAAACTTAATTTTATTAAATTAAAAAAAAATCTGGTGTTAAATGATAAAATATTTCCATACATCTAGCTCTTTTTTTGTTCCCCAAAAGTTCGAGCCACCAATGTAACTGAAAAAAAAATCAATATGCTATGAGTTTTTTAATGACACATTAAAAAAATATTTTGCAGTGCCTTTTAAAGTGAAAGAGATTAAACTTTATCTTATAAAAAATTTCAACTTAAAAATTAATTCTATTATATTGGTAAACATTTAGTATTTCAACTGTGATATTTAAAGACTAGACAACATTATATATATATAACATATATATAATCTGATAATGCTTGTGTTTTTGAAAGCTACTATGGTGCAAAGCATTGTGGTATTGTAATTAATAATAAACAATACCACAATTACAATTCAAACAACAACTTAACAATTCAATAACTTTTTAATAAAAATGAAAATCTAAATTTTTTCTTAATGACAACAAATGTTTTAATTTTATAATCTATTTCTGATTAACTGATTGCAAAGGTTTTTGCAATCAGTTAATCAGAAAATGATTAACTGATTGCAAAAACCTTTGCAATCAGTTAATCAGAAATAGATTATAAAATTAAAACATTTGTTTTTATTCAAATTCATTAAAAAATTTTTTTAATTTTTTGTTAAGGGTTTCACTTTACCATCATTTGATGATAAAATGCTTGAAGTTGACAAAAACCAGTTAATCATGGTTTTTGTGGTATAGATATATGATTATGATAATATATTTATTGTTACTTTAATAATTTATTCTTTTAACTACAATTGTTTCAAAAAAATGCTGGTTATAAATAATAAAATACTTCAAAAATACCTCTGTATGTTGAGTACAACAATGCCTTGTAAACTGGGTAAATTTATCTTATGTCCGTCAACCTTTTAACAAGAAATAAAAAATATGTTACCAATAATACAACTAAATATAATAAAAGTTTAACATAGTAAATTTAAAAAAAAGGTATTTTAAAACCAGCTCAAATATCAATAGTATTTTATTTAAAAACAGATAGAAGATTTATAGAAGTAGAGAATGTTATTAGGAGTAAATGTTCAGCATGATTAATAGAGACAGCCATAGCATATTCTAATTATGCAATGGGTTGGATGGTTTACATGAAGTGCCAGTAGTAAAGATAACCTAAGAAATTATTTTATTATATATAAATTATAAAGTAGAGGATTCAGTAAAAGTGTTGTCATTCATCAATATAGAAACGTCAACACTAATTCAACTATTATTAGAATTAAACAACAATCTTAGTAGTAAGATTATCTGGAATACTACAAATATAAATGAAAAACAACACAGGACTAAAGTAAAACTCTATGGTACCTTGAAAGTTATCAGAAATGAAGAAGAGCATTGTCAAACAAGTATGACTTTAATACTGAAATTAGAAAGAAATGATATAATAATTTAAAAAACATTTAAAAAACCCCAAATAAAAAGAGCTTATTCAAAGAATCAGCATGCTAAAATTTATCCAAAGCCTATGATTTGTCAAATAGCACTTAGGTTGCTAACTTCCATCTAATGCACAATAGATAGTTTCTGCTGTTTAACAAGGCATCACTAAAATAAGGAATCCAAGTTATTGTCAGTAAGTTATTGGACTCAAGATAATACATTTGATATTTGTTAATTAAAGACTCAAACACAATAAAATACTAAATGATAGTTTAATGATATTAGATAGAAATCAGATTCGAAAATTTTATATAAAACACTTTTAAAGAGAAGTTCTAAACAGTTCTATAGAACCTATTTTATAAATGAGAAAGAAATGTCGTCCAGACCACAAGATATAGAGGAGTTTAGATGTGAAACAACTTTATCTGCTGTTAGAAATCCAAATCACTCCTGCAACAGAAGCAGAAGTGATTTGGATTTCTAACAGCAGATAAACCTAACTAAGTATGAAAGATGTTAGACTTTTTTTTGTAAATGACACCATTAAAAATTTTTCCAAAATCTTGCCAACCAAACTACTGAGTTGAAGACTATTGCTATACTGTTAGAAGCAACTTTATATTACAGACATATCAGACAATAGTGAAATGAAACATGGATAAGAAAAAAATTTTTCAATGGTAAAGTAGCACAATAAAAATATGCAAAAAAAAATTAATTTTAAAAACTATGCAAAATAATGTCAGCCTAATAATAAGCCACTAGCCAGGACTTGTTTATGTGGTTGCTGTATTACAAAAATAATGATTCATTTTAGTTTTGTAATAAAAAAAAAAATTAAAAAAAACCTTTTCACAAATAAATATTATAACAAATTACATTAATACCTCCAGATGAACATTTTGATCCAAGTTTCTGTACGTTCTATTCACAATTTCTTTACCACCAAGTACACCATACCATATCATATTTTTTGTACGACTCCTATAAAATTTTTTATAAAATGTCTACCTAACTTGTTCTTATATTATCTGACTTAATATATATTATCTTATATCATACTATAATTTAAATTATACAATAACACACACTAGATAAAAATATAAGAAAGTTCAACATTTGACATGTGACACTTTTCAGGCCATGATTTTCTATGAAGTCATCTTAATTATTATTGGTGAACTTAATACTATTGTTAGTAGTATTGCCCTTTTGAGCGTGTTTGACACAGAACTCTTGGCAGCCATTGCAACTGAGATAATGATGATAAAGATTCACAGCTTCGTTTTTTATAAGAAAAAGCTAATATATTAGCTTATCGCTAAACTTAATCCTGTTAGTAATTGTAGTGCCTATTCAAGCATGTTTGACACCCATTGGCAGCCATTGCAACCGAGGTAATGGCGAGAAAGAGTGGCAGCACTTTTTGTTAAAAGAAAACATGAACGAAAGTGTATGCAAATATCTAACTTATGTAAACTTCTAATTACGTAATGTTAAGACATACTAAAACATCAAGTTTTACAGTTTTACTTTTACTTAAAAACTGCATTGCGGCAACACCTTTTTAATTTTGATCTATAACTTAATCTTTTGATCTATATATTTTTATTTTTATATTTATTTTTGTTTTAAGTCTTTTGTTGGTAAAGTAGTTATAAAATTTTTGCCGAGTGGTTAGCTCTCAGAATTTCAGAAGCAAAGCAGAAAGTATGGTTTGAATCCTAGCAATGGCATCTTTTTTTAAAGTCTTTTTTGATTTCTCTAAAATACAAAATAAAACACTTTTGAAGTTTTATAGATATTATATGTATAATATATGCATATGTAAAGATTTTATGCACAATAACAAACAAAAGAGAGAGAATTTTTAAAAAAGCATCAAAACACCAGAAGAAATTTGTTGCACATATGTCATGATAGAGATACTTGTGTTATTAATGTGCTCAGGCAATTAGCCCTAATAAGCTGAGGATAATCTGAAAAAAAAAATGATGGTCTGAAACTTATTAAAGAAAGACAGTACAATAGTCACTGTCTGGGACTTGTGCAACTTTTTTTTCTTTTTAGCAATGGTGAACATTAGATCAACAATAGATCATACAGAGTATTGCAATAGTGTTGTCATTATACCCAGCATCTCTGCCAGAGGGACTATCACGTCTGCTGCCAATAGTATGCTGTCTTCTGAAGTAGTTTTCTAAAACATCTTGACAAATTCTTTCAGAAAGAATTTGTCAAGATGTTTTAAAGTAACACCGTATTCTAAGAAAAACTTACCAACTTCTTTGAACGAATGTACAGCTATCTGGATACTTCATAAGCTTGCATAGAAATAAACATATTAAACTGGGTTTAGCAGTATAATTCTTTTCATTTTGATTGTCAATAGACTTTTCCTATTTTTTTAAAATATAAAAGAAAACTGTCAAGCAATTCAAAACATACATCATTAACAGACTCATATGGTTTTAGATTTTCTTTTAAATTTTTTATAGCTTTATTTTTACTTGAAACATGCAAACAGACAAAAAATTTATCCATCATAAGACAAAATTGAGCAGTTCCAGCATATTCTGGGGGAGCAAATACTTGTAAAACTTTGCTAACTGTGTCACTTAACACTTAAGCAGCCAAATAAACGTGCATTACTGAATATGGTGTTAAATTAATGTGATCACTTATGAGTTTATTTACTAATCTTAAACCACATTCTAAGTCCTAATAGTAATTTTGGAACATGACTCAAAAGTGGGTGCAGACCAATGTTTCACATATATCGAGTACCTTATTCAAAACCAGAATTTGCAAGGCAGTTACAAGCTGTTTTAATCAAGCATCTGAAATCTTTATCTTTTTTATTAGGAAAAAATCAAAGTTTTTAATTTGTTTTCATATATTTTAATCTGCAATGAAGAGATTTATGTTTTGTGTAATTAACTAAAAATTTCTTTAATCAATATTCTAAAACTATTTTAAATTTTTTTGAAACTAAATTTCATTCTATGTTTTACTAAAACTGCAATTAAATGTGAAAAATTAATTGTCACTAAATTAGATTTCCTTGAAAATCTAGTTTTATGGCAATAAATGTTGAGAACTTTTCCAATGTCATATTTTTTCTTACTCTATTATATATATATATATATATATATATATATATATATATATATATATATATATATATATATATATATATATATATAACGTCACATTTCTTTATACTTCATAACAAAATATTTTTATTCCTTATTATATTCTTTACAACACCAAACAATTATTTTCTTAGTAGTTATAAAAAATATTTTGAAAGACCACGCATTTACATAAAGCTTCCAACAAATGCAAAATAATGTTTATTAATTTTTGTGTTGTGGTATTATGTACAAAACTTTTCCCTTAATGTAATACAATTAATTTAAAGAGTTTTATTCAGTAACCGGAACTGATACACACAAAGCAGATTATACACCTACAACAGATTCCTAATTTTAATTAAAAATATTTTATTCACCTATATTTTTCAGGGTGTTCTTCCCTTTTATTATGAAAATCCAAAGCAATCTTTGCATCAATGCCTATACCAAAATAATTGTTCATAACACATTTCTCATTGAAGTTCTTTCTAAAACTTAAAAAAAAATTGAAGCATATATATGTATATGTATATGTATATATATATATATATATATATATATATATATATATATATATATATATATATATATATATAATAAAAATATAAGTTTGCAAACTATCAAAGAACTATATAATTTCTTCCTTATTAATGAGTATAATCAATTCACTTAAATAAATTTCCTAGATGATTAAAAAAATAATAATAATAACGAGAATTTAAGGAGTGCATTCAAATTTTAACTTTATTTAAGGTAATTCAAGGGAAATTAAGGTTTTTATCTTTTAAGGATATTTAAAGTTTTTAAGGAGTAGCGGGAACCCTGTATGTATATATGTATGTATGTATGTATGTATGTATGTATGTATGTATGTACATACATACATACATACATACATACATACATATGTATGTATGTATGTATGTATGTATGTATGTATGTATGTATGTATGTATGTATGTATGTATGTATGTACGATTGCTCTCGAATACTGACCACGGAAATTATATTTAGTTGCGAAAAACTGGCCAGGTTTTTTAGCCGTTTTGAGAACATTTAAGTTTATGTATGAAACAAAAAATTTTTGTTTTTCGGACATACATAGAAACATAAAAAACTTGAATGTTCTCAAAACATCTTGGTGCGGAAGAATATAAAGAATATTCGCACTAAAAACCCGCCAAATCAACGAACAAACTAATTCTATTGGTTCAAAAAATATGCTGACTAAGCGAAATAAAGTTTTAGAGTATTTTATTAAAATATTTTAGAATTAGTATTATACACGATTTGTTTTGCGATTTCTAACATAAATTGTTTTAAGAATATATTATCAATACTATGGCTCATTCTCGGAGCCACAAATCTTTAATCCACCTGCAAAGCCTATATTTTAGAATTAGTATTATTCACAATTTGTTTTGAGATTTCTAACATATATCGTTTTAAGAATATATTATCAATATTATGGCTCATTCTCGGAGCCACATCTACAAAGCCGTAAATCTTATAAACTATTATTTGTTTACAAAAATAAATATTTTAAATATATATTATTTAAATTGTCAAAATTTTGAAAGTTTGCAGGCTGTCAAGCAGCAACTTTCGAAAAAAATGACAAAAAATGACGGTATTATGAGGATAAAAATGACAAAAAATGAAAAAAAAAAGTTCAATAATTTTATTTAGAAAATAACAAACAAAATCATCCGCCATCAATAATTTCTTTTAAAAATGAAAATCTCAACATCTTTTTGTTGTTTAACACGCAATAAAACGTTTTTCTAAAGTCTAAAATAATTAACATAAATAAATAAATTTTCCTAACTAATTATAACTGAACTAACATTTCAAGCTCTATTATATTTACAAAAACTTTCAAACTTTTAACGACTACTTTAATTTTTTGCAATGCTTAATTAATCTATCCATATCACTTTTACGTTTTAAACCAACTTTTTCTGTTCATTTCTATGAGATGTAGCATTTTCAAGACTTCTTTTTGTGCTGTTTACCATTTCATGGGCAATTTTTATACCCATCATGTCTTCCTTAATAATGGCACTTTGCATAGATTTTGCTGCTTCATCGAGCATTCTCTGAGCAAGCTGAAATTCAAGATCTGCATTTTTTTTATCATTCTTTAGAACTTTTTCCTGTTAATCTAAATTTTTATTTTTATTTTCAACTTTTTCAAGCATTTCTTTCTGTTCTTTTTCTTTATTCATTAGTTCTTGCTCATGAAAATAATTTTTTCTTTTTTCTTCCTCTTCTTCAGCTTTTCTTTTTTTATATATTTTATGAGCATTTTGAACAGCTTGAACAACGTCTTCGGAGAGTGCATCAACATTATATGCTCCTCTGCAACTTCTTGCATATTCTTTTGATATTCTCAAAGCCATTAATGTTTCATCATTTAGATTTACTCTCTCAGGAGTCAATGTATTTTTGTTATCAGATAAACTTTGCTCAGCACTGGCATTTCCATTCTGACTTGTTAAACAGCTCTTAACAATTTTACTGAGATTACCCATACTTTGTTTTTCCATACTCATTGTTACTTTCAAAAACATTAGCCCAATAATGGTCTACTCTTTTTAGTTTTTTTGTATCAGAATCTATATTAGATTCTGATACAAAATATATATTAGCTTTTGATATATTAGCTGCTTGATATAATTTCCATTCATCTTTCACAAATGATACCTGTACAAAAATTAAGATAAAATTGTTATGGAGAAAGTGTTAACATTTAAAATTAAAAGAAAATTTAATTATATTAAAATTAAAATAGTTCGTTAACTAATAATTTACAAACAACAATTTCTGATTCGAGCTCATTAATATTAATAATGTATATATATATATATATATATATATATATATATATATATATATATATATATATATATATATATATATTATATTACAGTTATTTAATATAAATTTATTTAAATATTCACCTCCCTTTCCGTAATTACATGTGGCATCGTAACTGCTATTCGCCCAATTGCATTAACAGTCCAAGGTTCTGATCTCATTTGAGCACCCAAACAAGTCATATCTTTTAATATCTGCGAATCAAGTGGAAGTTTTTTTTGCAAGTGTTTCACAACAGATATATATCCATCTCTCATTTGCTGTAAGCAGACAAATCTTTTTTTTTCACATGATATTTTGTTCACCTAAAACATATTTATATTGAAAATCTACATCAATGAAAATGAATAAAAAAACTTAATTTTCAATAATAAAATATCAAATGATTAATAAAATAAACAAAATAGTTTTTTTTAAAAAAAATTATATAGAGACACTACACTTTATTAGCTAGTCGTATAATAGACTATTAGAATAAAAAATAATAATAATGAAAGAAAAATAACTTCATAGGTAAAATAAAAAATTCTCTTTTAGTATTAACTGCAGAAAAATCCCATTAAGTTAGACTCTCACAGGGAATAGATAAATAGTCCGACTTGTGTCCAAATAAGCTAAGCTTTTTGTATGTATAGAAAGCTCAAGGGGAATTGAAAATCTGTCCGACTTAGTACAAATCCAACTTATCCAGGGTCCGAATTAATGGGATTCTACTGTATAAAATTACTCAAATCATTACCTTGAACTAGGTATGTAAATCAAATGCAAGCTGCTCAGCATCCTCACCGACAACATTAATTGCTTTTCGAAAAGCATTATGCACTGTGTGCAAAGTGTAACTTACAAATGGTAACAAGCCATTAAAACCATTGCTATGAAGATCAGCATTTAACAATCTCCAAATGGCTTTGTTAATATTAGGACCATCTGCTGAAATATTAAAAAGATGATCCCATGGTAAATAAAACCTTTCATTATGATGTAAATCTGCTAGCATTGTTTTGACATCTTCTGCTGTTGCTCTGCCAAAGAACAGCGATGTTAAATATTTTGTAACAACTTGGTTTTCGTCTTCTGACCAAAAACAACATAAAAGATCCATTTGTTTTCTTTATTGTGAAGTAGCTGTTTCATCAAACATTAAAGTGAATGCACCTTGACTTAATGTGATACTATTACATAAACGCTTTTCCAACAATGGCCCAAGGCCATCTTGCAAAATATATGAAGCTTTTTGCCGACTCATAGTAAAACCTTGACTTATTTTACTATCTGGAAACATTCTTTGGAACAATATTGGTGTGTTGTCACAATGTCTTAAGGCAAGATCATTCTCTGCCACTTTAAAAAGCCACATAGCTTCTGCAGCAGAATTTTTTTCATTTATAGAGAACAGAGAATTGTATAACTTTTTCTCCTCTAATAGAGTTTTTGTTAAAATCTACATATAAATGACGAGCAGTTTTTGAAAACCTTAGATCAGACACTGACTTATGTTTAGGTTTTGAAGAATGCTGATATAGTGCTTGGAAACCAACTGAACTGAATTTTAAATCACTTTTGCATAGTTTACAGATAGCATATTCAGAGTTTCTTTTTTCAGCCCATAATTGGATTTTCACTAGATTTTTATCTAAGTTTTCCAACCACACATCATTCCACTTAACCATTATACTATATAATCTATTGATAAATATACTAAAAACTAAATATGAAAATCACTAACTTAACTAATTCTATACTATAGAATGATTTATTTTTTTAAATAATAACACCAATTTAGCAATACAAATGGATAATTAAAATTAAAATGTGAACATAAAAGATTGTAACTGTTATTATAAAATAGTTTTGAAAATTAAATAAAAAACTAAGTAACATAACGTCTAAAACAACTTAAAAATATCAAAAACAGCAATTCTAAGTATTTAAAAAAAACTTTAAAGTGTAAAAAATTCAAGAAAAAAATGAAAAAATGACAGAAACTAACAAAAAAATGAAAAAAAAATAAAGAAAAAAAAAGAACCCAAAAAAAAAATGAAAAAAATGACCACTTGACAGCCTGAACTTTATTATAAATTATATATTTTATTAGTATATTCTTATTTTTTATTTTAAAAGTATGTATTCTTTATGTAAATGTAATTTTGTGTATCTGTTTTTTATTGCAATGTATCTTTTAAAGCAATTTTTATGATTTAATTTGTAAACAAATACTTAAAAAAATATTTTCTTTTTCAATGAAGTTAATAACCATCATTAAAGTTAATAAAACTAATTATATAACAAATATATAAGAAGTTTCTGGTTACTAAACACAAACAACGCATACAAAGTAACTCTCGGATGAACAAACACCGCGCCTAAAGTTACGACAGAACACAAATATAACAAATTATTAGATATAAAGTAAAGTTTCTAGATAATGGTTTACTAACTCTAATTATTTTCGCTTCAGTTGCCATTCTTAAAAACTCGTTATCCTTTTTTCTGTTTTAAGTACTAATTAAAATTAAAAAGCCCACTCACTAAACATCATCAGCGATATTGTGAGGCAGTTTTGCTTCCTCGTCATATAGTATTTTTAACCTTTTTAGTTGATTTTTATCTAGGTAATTTAACTTTTTTAGTAATTCAATGATTTAATTATTTCATTTGTTTATCTGACTAAGAAGAATTGTTTCAAATATGTTAAACTTTTCAAACTAGGCGAAACATAAAATAGATAATAAAAAAATTAACTTTTTTATTTATAAAAAAGTTAATTTTTTTAATGATGTTACTTTATATAAAAAACATCGCCTAATTTTATAAAAGAAATTATGAAAGAACGATGTTTCGAAAATATTTGTTTTGCTTAAAGGTTTTTCGCGTAAAAAGATTTTTTTTTCCTAACTTTTTTTTTGTTGTAATTGTCTCTTATCAGTCCAATTAATCTTAAGCGCAATTTTTTTTTGCTTTTTGAAATATTCTCAAAACAACTAAAAAATCTGGCCAGCTTTTTGCAACTAAATATTATTGTCATGGTCAGCAATCGAGAGCGACACCTCCCGCTTACTGACCAAGCCTGCATATATATATATATATATATATATATATATATATATATATATATATATATATATATATATATATATATATTTTAAACATTTTCGCTTCCAACAAGGCTGCAAGCAACCACTAATTAGTGTTGGAAGTTACTGGAAGAGAAAAGATGAAGATTGTAGAGTAAGATAACGATTGACAGACAACTTAAAAGATTGTTAATTATATGAATCAGGAAAGCAAGATGAAAGAAGCGAATTACAAAGAACTTTCAATGGAAAAAACTATACAAATATGAGTTTTTGGAGCACTTAGGAACAGTAACAGAAAAAGGATAAGACTTAATTGAATTTTAGTAGATAGCGCAAGCGACGCTAGCTCTTTAGAGCAGCGCCCATTATAATATTTGTAGAAAAAAAAAGAAAGGGCATCATTAGAAGATCCGCCCCAGATATGGCAATATTATTCCATACAAAGACAGATTTGAGATTTACAGAGATAGAGAATAGAACCCGAAGTAAGAAAGTGTCGAGCTCAATAAGGAGATGCAACTTTAGCAGATGCTAACTTTGTAATAGATTTGATATAAAGGTTCCAAGAAAGATCAGAAGTAAGAGTTAATCCTAGAAGATGAAGGGTAAATGACTCATCGAGTACATTACCATTCATAAATATAGGAAGGTCTAAATTATTGTGATAATGATTGGCTGAAAAAAGTCTGAACTAAAGTTTACCAGCCACTGCGAGCCCCATGCTGTAGCAGAAGTGAGATCCTTTTCAAGTTCAAACGCCCCCTCCAAGCAATCAGAGGAAGTTGGCTTCTTATCGTGACAAGAATGAATGGTAGTATCGTCAGCAAACAATGTCACCTTAGATGTGAGAATATCTGGAAGATCATTAATATAAGTTAAAAAAAAGTATAGGGCCACGAATTGAACCTTGAGAAACCCTTGAGGTTACAGAATAAGAAGAAGAGTGCTGTCCATCAAGGACAACATTTATACTACGATTGGAAAGCAAGGACTCAATAATCTTAAAGATGTTTCCAGATACACTGTAAGAAGAAAGCTTATGGAGAAGACAAGCATGCCAAACTTTATCAAATGCTTTAGAAATGTCAAGAGCGATGGCCTTAACCTTTCAACCTTTATCTAATGCGCAATTAAACCTATTGGTTATTACTGATAGTAAATCAGCCGTAGAACGAGAAAATCGAAATCCATTTGATGATCAGAAAGTAAGTTATTAGATTCAAGATGAGAGATTAAGTGATTGTTAATTAAAGATTCAAAAACCTTGCTTATGATAGGAAGAAGACTAATGGGACGGAAATTAGACGAATCAGATCGCTTTCCAAAATTTTTAAAAATAGGGATAACAGATGCTGCTTTCCAGCAAACAAGACTCTGATAAGCACTTGTTGAATAGTTTTGAAAAGATAGACGACAGCACCGGAAAACACTTCTGCAAGACTATAACAGGTATGTTGTCCAGTCCACAAGCTGTAGAAGAGTCTAAGCAGGAAATCACTTTAGATACAGTAGCTGGAGTGATACGGATGTCAAGCAATGGATCAACCTGTTTGACAGCTATATCAGGCAGAACGCAACTAGTGGAATCAAGAGATAATATTGATGAAAAGTTCTTAGCAAACAATTCAGCTTTGTCTTTAGGTGAGGTGACAAAGTCTGAACCATATAAAAGAGGTAAAATTATAGACTTGCCCTTATTATTGATACTATTGAATATTCTCCGGAAGCCACAAGAGCCTAATTTTTGAGATGAAATACAAGACTTCATGATCTGAGAATAGCGGGTTTTGGCATTAGATGAAACCTTTTTACAATGGTTCCTAGCAGTAATAAACAGACGTTTTTTTTCTGGAGAATTGTTTTGCTGATAGATATGGAAGTAATGGTTTCGATTGGCAATTGCAGCAGCACATTGTGAGGAAAACCATGGAGAAGAGTGAGGCTTGATCTAGAATCGTCGAGAGGGAATAAAGGATTTGAATTCAGCCTGAATCCACGAAGTTATGTAAGAAGCACATTTGTCAACAGGAAGACGAAAGATTTCTACCCAAAAGCCATTACGAAGAAAATCACGGAAAGAATCCCAGTCAGCTTTAAGGTAGATGTAAGATGTGCGATGATAGGGGGAGTCTGATAATAAAGAAGAATGAGATAATAGTTTTAGAGAGATCAAACTGTGATCAGAGACACCTAAGGGTGGATGTGGAGAAACTGAGCACTGACTAGGATCAGAAACAAGATGTAAGTCGAGAAGAGAAGATAAATGATTCGGGTTGTCTGGAAAGCGAGTTGGAAAGTTGACTATTTGAGTTAGGGATTGAGAAAGGCAAAAGTTGTGGGCTTTAATGCCTGCAGAGTCACTGACACTAGAGCCAAGCCATTCAGTGTGATGAACAGTGAAGTCATCGAAAACAAAAATATTGGCTGATGGATAAAGAGAGGGGGTTGGTCAATATGATCAGAAATAAAATCAAGAAGAGTTCAGTCTTGAGATGAAGTAGAACGATATAGAACAAAGAGAAAGGCGATAGAGTGAAGTGGTGCTAAACGAAAGCACA